ACATTTTCTCTCTGTAACACATCTCTTTCTCTAACATACATACGTAGAAGTGCTAACAACTTCAATCAGATAATAATTTGAGAATATAGAATTATACACTTTATACATCTAGTAAATTTAGACTCAATTATTAGCTTAGGTCACGTATTTGCTCAAAGAAAAATAGATCTGGACAAAGAAAGCCTGAAAGAGAGGGAAACCAAGAAAAAAGGGTATGAACAATTATTGAGCCGATCAAATATGGGGAGACCCACATAGATCCCAATGCTCTGACCCATTAGAACTTGAAAGGGAAGCTGAGATTTTATATAATATAAGTTTTGTGGACACAGAGGAATGATAAGACTCTCTGCCTTAACTCATCAATGATATGATGTGAAACTTCACCCATTCGCCCCATCTCTATATGACCCTTTCCGTATTGCTTTGTCCTTTTTTCCTTTTTTAGGTTCATCTTTAAGAAAAGGTTAGATTCATAGCTAACTCCGAATGTAAAGATGTAACTACTCGAGAATACAACTTAGCTACTAACTAACTATCCCGCCCACAAGAGAGAACGGTTGGGGTTTGGATCAATTTTTGGTCAAAATGGAGGCCGAATCAACCTATCAATTTAAGAGAAACTTTGAGAATCATATGAACGCAATTGACCGCGTGCCTGACTCAAACTAACTAAAACAGAGCCAACCAAAATCTTCCCAGAACCAAGTATTTTTCGATTTTATACTTCCTATAACCAAACCGACCATAGTCAAATCATTAGACAAAGTCTTAATATGCATGCCTTGTGGGACAAGGCACAGCTAGCACCAGCTATTTTTGCAAATGTGAAAGGTTGTATGAATCCTAAACTAATGATACTGTTTGACCTGATGCCTTTTTACATACCAGTTCGTCGGTTCTCTTTATCAATAATTAGGAACCAAATTCCAGTTGTGGCTTTTCTTACCTTCCCTCAACAGTGACTTTCAACAATGAACATAATTGTTGGGTTGGCAACCTAAATGGTTTGGATGAGTTTCGAGTTTAAAATATTTCGGGGTTAAATTATAATTTTGGTATCTTGAATTTACGTCTCTCGAATTTAGAAATGAGTTTAATAAAAAAATCCCATCGTGTTTATTGGGTCTGGGTCCTGGACCAGGCGCGGGTGCCCCAGGTATGGTGGAGCAAAGTTTTGACTCCCGACCATAAGGAGAGAAAAAAAGGGTTTTTATTTTAATATTTAAAGGAAAAAAATTGGAAAGATCAAAATAAATTTATCTAGAAAATTTGGATCATTCAAGATTAGATGATGTTAAGAAAACAAAGATTTGAGTCATGCCACTTTGTAGTTAAAAGAAAACATAGTTTTGATCTAAATTTTACTCTTCGAAGTTTAAAACTTTTTATTTTAGTTCCTCATTCTAATAAGATTCTTTGAACGAGTAAAATAATTATTATTTATATAGGACGTGTGAGTTCTGCGAATATTGTCTCGAAGCAATCGATAAAGGTATTCAATGAATTTAAATTTCTTCCATGTTTGGATAGTAGATGATGTATGTTCCAAATCTATGGTTGGGAATCTGATTCCAAAACATTTGATTTTAGTTAGTAAAGAACAATCTAAAAAGGCACAACTGCCATTGCCAGCTCAAACCTTAAAATCAAATCTCTGTTTGTACAAAGCAAAAAATGGGGAGTGTGAAAATTAGCTGTCATCTCCAAGAACTTGAAGTTTTTCTTTAAACACATGCACCAGTTGGCACTTTGAATAGTGAAAGATGAATCCAAATTGCCAGCAATTGAATATTGGAGTGGAAAACTCAAACTTTTCATTGGTTACTAATGATTAAAAGGTTCAAACTTTTACATTTTTGTTGATTTGATGTTGAGCTTATCTTTTTTTGCAGCATAGCTGGTACCAGATGGATGTTCTTATCTAATTTACTCTCAAATTAATAAAAATGGTCAATCTGGTTAAAGAAGCTGACTCCGACCTAGAAGTCATGAGTTCGAAACTCTATCCTATATCTTGTACTTAGAAGGGGAAAAAAAATCTCTGAAGAATTCAATGGTACAATAGGTGGGATATATGAAGTTCGAACTCACAATTGTTTGGTCGGATGTATATGCCCTAACTAATTCAGTTATGCTAAGGTTGACGGTTATAAGATAAGATTGAAGGCGAAAAAAATATTTCCTTAACTTTCTTCGTGTTGAATTTTTGTTTAATCTCTTGCTCTAATATTTGTTAGAAGTACTTTTTAGACCAACCTAATTGTTCGGTTGTAAATTTATTCAACAAAAACAACCCTTATTAAATAATAAACCCAATCCAACTCAACTCAATCGGAAAATATTTTGGTTGATTAGTTTGGGTTATTCAGGTCACTCATTCAAGATATTGTATGGTAGAAAAAGTAAATGTTAATATCTTACACATTTATTTTATTTTCTAACATTGAATCAATATTCATAAGATAATGTTTATTTATATGGCAAAAAATTATACTAAAAAAATTTAAAAATTTATTTTTAAAAGTTGTTGGAGAATAAACAATTCATAGAAAATAAAATTAAAGAATATATATATATATATATATATATATATATAATTTTATGACAAGTAAAAGAAATGGTTTTAAAATTAATAATAAGTTCGGATTCATTCAGTTATTTTAGTTGAATTGTTGAACCAATCTAACTCTTAAAATTTTCATTTATTTGTTACAATATATAATTCAAGTCTTTTTTTATTATTATTATTTTAACAATACTTGAAAAAGAAAGGTGTATAGTTTGACATTAACGAAGTGGGGGAAAATGCACAAATGACCTAAGATAAAAGGCATACTATTATTATTATTATTATTATTAAGATATAGACTTAGACTATGTCTTGCAAGTTGGAAAGTAATTGAATGGTCTAAAATAAACAAACAAGAGCATCAATCATGATATGAAAGGGTTGAAAAAAAACCGCTATTAGATTGAGGTTCTAGAAACTTTAGATAAGAGTTCTTGGTTATCGTGATTTTAGAACTTTGAATATACGTATAATACTATACTAAAATAAAGTTAGCATTTTTTTTATTTTCACTCGATTTAAACACATGTTTAATAACGTATTTAGAAATTAGATCATAAATATATTCCTTCTGAGAGTTCAAAATAGGGTCCATTGAGAATTTTTATTTACCATTCTAATAATTTTTAATTTATGTTGTATATATATAAGTTATAGAAATGGATATTTAGAAAGCAAGATTAAGAAGCAAAAGAAGAGAGAGAAAGTCAAGTGAGCGTAGCTTAACCATAATTGGCAGTTGTACTCAGAACGGAAAAAAATAAAAGAAAGAGAAAGAGAAAAAAAAACTTTAAATTTTAATATGCCCTTTCTTTTCATAGGGGAAAAAATCTCCTTTCCTTTTTCGAAAAAATATTCTTTTTATTTATTTGTTTGTTTTTTTTAAAAAATCTCCTTATACACTGTGATTATCTTATTTTAAAGCCAGGAAGCATTTTAATGAGACAAAAAATTATATGAATGAGTTGATTTTATATATTCTTACTTTCTAATAAAGATCTAACAAGCTAAAAGATCTACCAAGTATAGAAATCGAAAAATCTAAATTTGTATAACCTATATTCAAATGGTAACACGACGACGCTAGAAACATAAATTTGTGTAAAATATGTCGATTTTCTCATTGAATCTTGTAATTCATTTCAATTCTCGTAATTTTATGTTTAAATTTATTTTTATTTTCACCGTGACACATCTCAATTTTCTTTGAGTATACGGGACACTAGAACTTTTTGTCACATCCTATCTCTATCAAAAACAAGTCGGTTTCACTTTCATCTAGCTATAGTGTGTCAATTTGGATCACTACTACATAGTTCATGGCTTTTCTCAAATGGTCATGTGGCATACCTAGGACCATATATCTTTTCTCAGGGTCTCTTTCTTTTTAGAATAAGTCGTGTTATAATATGATTGCTACATTAAATTTATCGTCAATGATTTCTTTTTAAAATATATATATATCAGTGATAAAGTTTAAAGAATTGAGTTAATTTATATTTTTAGATTTATTAATGATTGTTTTTTTTAAATAAATTTAGTAATGATTTAACATGAATATTAGAGAAGTAGTAGGGTTATGAGTTTAATTAATCTTTGTAATATTGTTTCTCTCTCCCTAATTTGTTTTAACATTATGAAGCAAAATTAGTGTATCCAAATTCTAATTTTGATATGATCATATGATATAAATTCAGTTAAAAATTTTTGACCAAAATTTATCATGATGGACTAAAATATAATATTTTGATCAAGGATTTTAGATTTAGTAGCAGTGATTTAATATGATGTTAGATATAATTGATTTTTAAGTTCTAACGTATCTACGAAATGTCATTTCTTATATACCATAGGTTTCAAATCAATACATGGTTGTGTAAACTCAAGGTCTGAAGAGAAGTATAAGAGGTTTAAATATCTATGAGACTAAATTACGAAAGAAAAAAAAAAATCTCCGAACTTTGTCATTTGTTCAAAAAAAATATTCATATCATTTCAAAAGTTTCAATACTGTCATTATACATTTCATAAATGTTTCAAAAATACTTTTTGAACAAACATCAATTAATACATTGAACGGAAAATTTACGTGGTAGAATCTGAAAAAACATAACAGTTAACATAGCTAGCACTTTGATCATGAACGTAGTCAATTATTGGTCCATCACTATTTTTACTTGTGGATTCTTTTACTGTCAATAAAGATAAAATTTGTTGTATTGCAAGTAATTGTTCAAAGAAAGTTTTCACGTTAATTGTCACGTCGACTTTCTTTTCAAACTTTTAACAAATGTGTTTGCTCAAAGGGTATTTTTGAACTTTTCGAAATGTCTAATATTGTCTGTTTTGAAAGGATGCATGTGTTTTATAAACAACAAAGTTCAAGAGTATTTTTTGTAATTTAGTCTATTTATTTTGGTCTTTGTATTTTCGCTCTTGGTTCATTTTGATTTCCAAAGGTTCATTTTTATCTATGTACTATCAATTATTCGTCTTAGTTTTAGTCCTGGTACTTTTTTTTTTAAATATATTTTTTGATTTCTATACTCTTAATTACCATTTTAGTCTCAATCTACAAAATTTAACACAAATTTAATATACAATGGAAATCTTTTAATAGGAATTATAATATTGCCACGTATGTAAATTTGTCACATACAATATTTTGTAAATTCTACAATTTTTTTTGTCTTTCTTTCGGTACAACATGCGGGATGAGTTCAAACACACGCCTTTTTTATTGGTGTTACATGCTTCAACTAATTGAGTTAGGTTCAAGGTTCAAGTTGACACAATTTTTTATCTTTCATATCACTGACATATCTTTTTTTTTTTTTGTTATTGACAAAGTATATCATTAATATATATAATATAAAACATGTTACTGATATATCATTTATATGATAAAATTATATTACTAAAATACTAATATATAAAGAAGGTCACTGGTATATTATTTTTCGTGTCATTGATAAAGTCTAACACCGATATATAAATTTAAAGTATATACCTATACACCTATATTATTGATGTACAAGTTCTTACATTATCTATCATTTTTGCAAATGCAAACTATTTTATCACGTGACACATGATTTCAACAAAACCCACTTCAAAATATATTAACTAAAATTTTATATATGTTTTTTAAATTACCAAACAAAGAAATCCTTAGTAAACAAGCTTAATTTCTAGAAATAAAACCTTTATCAAATCGAACATGGGTAAACATTAAAATCGGAATTCATGAAGGATGAATTTCGTAACGACTGTTTGGATGATTCATCTCTGAACTATAGATCAAATGGCTGAACTGAAGTCTAAAAAGCCAAACTATTTACGTGTTGGCTGAAAGTCATCAAACTGTACCACTAACCACTAAGCAAATTTCATGTGGAGGATTTGGCCAACGTGGGTTATATGCGTGATCTCCGAGTGGCTAAAGCCACTTCTTTCTCGGTCCTATAAATACTAGAGGTAACAATAAAGTTAGGTACATACGAGTCTAATTACAAATTTGAATTAATTCATAATGACTGATAACTAATTTAGACTTCGTAGTGCTCCCCTCTGTTTTACAGGAATTCGATTGTCTTCTATTTATTCGTGTAAGTCAGATTTCGGCTAAAATGGGAATAGTGGTTTTTTTTCATAATTATATATTTCAATTATTGTTCAACAAACTTCAATCCTCTTAGGTTCATGAACATTTTGAGAGGATTTTACTTGATCTCTCTTCTATTTTCTGATAGACTTGTTCTTCATGTGTGAATGTCTTTGTTCATATATATTCAAAGCAAAAGTTAGAAGTAAAGAGCAAGCCAATGGCTATCTGTACTTTTTGTCTGTGCCTTAATTTATTGCCTAGCATTTTATAAGAACTTCTTAACATGGACTGTTTGGTTCCAAAGGTTACTGTTTAATTTGTGAGTAGGTTGTTTATCCCATGTTGGTTGTCGTTGAAAAAAAGCATTATTCTAAACAAGAAAACGGATCGACAACAGTGTCAATACGACCATGTCGTTATTGTTGACACGTTGTCATTGTTGTCCGTTTTGTCTAGATAATAACAACGAAGAATAAAAATCTCTCAGATGGAGAATATTGTTGTTGTTTGATATGTTATGTTGAAATGTCAACAATATATCACATATATGTTCAATTTGTTGGTAACAATGATTAACAAATATGGCATGTTGAAAATTAACGTTTCATATCGATTAGAAGTGAGAAAGATCATGAATTTTTCTACATGTAACTTAAAAAGTAGAATCATGTAAACTTAAAAGATTAATATAGAACATTATCATAAAATAGTAGAGGTATATAGAGATATTTATAGTTTTAACACCAATATCTTTTAAAATTAAATTATATGGATAAAAATAAAGAAAGTAAGATATTATAAAGAGCTAGAAGCAAATATTTTAGAAGATGCTTCTTCGTGACTTTAGCCAGAGATAATAATCTTAATAAAGTGTATTTAGTTTGGTTAGCAAAGATTTGGGATCCTTTGATCATATTGGTTCAGAGGTCAAAGTCGAACCGGTCGATGAGCTTAATACAAAAAATCCTTGATATCTCCCGGGTCCTTTAGATGTAGGGGAGCAAAGCTCCG